TGACAAGCACACTGGCCTCAATTTTCCCTTTATTTAATTCGTTTGCAATTGGGTGCCATTTTTCTTGGCTGATCCCCATTTCTTGTCCGTCTTCTAGGCTCAGCTCATGAGGTGTGTTGGAGTCTGAGCTGCTGCCCTCTGACTCCAACACCCCAGTGATCACAACGGACCTCCACTTGTCCTCTTCCTGCTGTTGACATAAAACACAGAACATTATTTAGTACACAGAATGTAAACCAAACTCTAGACTGAAACTGAAAATGTATTTTGAAAATGTTATGTGTCAAAAAACTTTGAGTTTTTAATCCTAATATACAGTTTACTTTTTGTCTGTCTCTCTACTTACAAGATCCTGTCTTAATATATTGTGCATTTGTGAATCAGAACCGGCACTCATTTTTCTAACAGTCTAGGCTGGCTTAATGCACAGGCTTACCTGGGCTGAAGCCCAGGAGCTTACAGTGTTGGGGGATCTGTTGTTTTGAGGTCACATGATGAGCTGAAAAGGTTATATCTTTTTTATAACTTGTCAGATGTTCTGTCAGTCATTACAGATGTATATGTGGTCACAGATTGGTCCAAACTAACAGTAACCCATGTGGGTTCACATGGTCAGAATGTGTTTTGTTAGCTTGGGGTAGTGCACCTTGGTGATACACTGACAGCTGCCAATGAGTCAAGTCGATGAAGAAGTTTGTAAGCTGTGCTCCAGGAAGTGCTTAATAAAGTGAATAAACTGTATTTGTCAGAACAAGGAAGTCCTCACAAGGATAGAGGAACAAAGGTGTATGTGTTTGTGGCCTTGTTTTTCTCACATCGTGGGGTCCAGTTTTAAGGGAAATGCAGCCTCGTGGGGACCGGATGCTCCTTGTGGGGCCCAAAAGCCCGGACCCCACAACTTCAGAGGCTGATTTTGGGTGTGGGAGTTTGGTTTAGGACCAAGGTGTGAATTGAGTTTAGGTTAGTTTTAGGGTCAGGTAAGGTACCTGTGAGGTTAGCCTTAGGGTAAACGGTCAGGGTTAGATTATACAATTTCCAAAAGATGAATGGAAGTCAATGCACAGGCCCCACAAGGATATCAAAACAAACTTGTGTGTGTGTGTGTGTGTATGTGTGTGTGAGGGAGAGAGGCTGTTCTGTTCAGCTATATGTGTGTGTCAGTGGCCTGTTAAACTTTGTTTTTAAAGTGTAACTTACCCCAAAATCAAACTATTTTTAACAAACTCTCTAAATTGTGTCTTAAGGGTAATACCTTGCTATTTTTGACCTAAATTTAATATTTTCATCTAAAATAGTTTAAATCTTCAATAT